GGAGAGCGTTACTGGTAGACCCTACTTCTTTTCTTTCTCTCTCTCTTCTTCTTTCTGTCTGTCTTGGTTCTTCCCTGCACTATAATATGACCGCTATTTTGGCGATGTGCTTCTTTATTACTAAAATCCCCAAAAACACAAGAGGGGATTATTCCTGTAACTTTAAACGCTTCCTCCTGTTCCTTCAGTTGTCTTACTCTGAAGTTTTGCTTTATGTCTATTGTAACCAGAAAACATGCCTAAATCCAGCAAACGTTTTCGCTTCTGCTGCCGTGTTAGTTTTTCTTGCAAATGGGGGGAGGGGGGAATAACTAAGAAAATGAGGAAGCAATAAACAAGATGTACAGTTTTACTTCCCCTTACCGAAACCTTTTTGTTGGTGATTGAAAGATCCTGTGTGTTGCTTTGGTATAGTATAAGGTTTTACGGCGCTCGCAACTGCCAAGGTCATATGAGAGCGCGAATGTGTTGCTTTGACAGTGCACAAATTAAACAATACTGACGTCTATTGAGCCACGGTCAGGCGTTTCGCCGTCAAAAACAGAAGACCTGAGTTAGAATTGTGTGTGGGAAGAATTTTTATGGAGTACCTCGGGGTCTTTCTGTAGGGGGGGGGGGGGTCTTTGTAGATTACAGGTAGTGTCGAAGTCCGCTTGCTAAATTATCTAAACTATGTCGATGGTGACGTAAAAAGAGCTACATTTTTTATTGAACGAAAAACAATTACTAAAAAGTGTGAAAGATTGTAGATTATAAGACGTACAAGCAATGTGCAGGCTTTTTACACCCTACTGACTGTGGCAAGGAAGTACAATTCAGCAAGCTTCAGAAGATCAGCATTTCGATTGCCCCGATAACTTCATTCTCTTGAATTACATTACAGTCTTTCCTGCACTTTTGGTGCATATTTAAAACTCCAGTGTGTTAAACGCAAGCACTCTTTGAAATATTTTGAACGAAGAAAAAAAAAACCCATCTCAGAAGTAGTATTGAATGAAAACTGCATTTTTTAGCATTTTGTCACAAAGAAAGGGGGAAGAAACCCCGATGATAATAGCAACATCATTCAAAAATGTTCATACAAGCGTTGATACCCCTAATACCAAGCTAATAAAACATTTTATCGGAAAAAAAATATAAACGATGCAGATCAATTATTCAACAACATCTAATTTATACCATAAAGTACTGCAAGGCGATAATTCTACCTGAAATTCACACAAATTAAAGAGCAACAGATTAAAATAAAAGACAAGACTGATAAGAGTTAAAAACCAATTTATTGCATTACTATACCATCTTTGCTTGTTGTTCAGAGCAGCACCATTCACATTTATGGGAATATCTTTGTAAACTTCATGTTCAGCATCTACATCCCCCTATTTGGATGAGTTGTACATTACAGCTTGCACTAAAAAAATTAATTCCATTTTTGGACAATAAATATCCCTTGTTCCCTCAAATAAAAACATCAGTCAGAAGTAAAAGACCTAGGCTTCTGATCTGTAAAAAAGAAAGACGCAGAAAGTCATTTTTACCAACATCCATCAAAAATTCTTCCATCTTAACAATCTTGTTACAAGTATTCATATGACGCTAGAGCATGCATCAGAATAACATTGAGTTACAATCAGAATACTGAGTATGTATCTAGCTTAAAGATTATTATTCTTTACTTATTACAGTTCATTTATATAATGCATGTGACTGTAAGCCTGCGTGTGTGTGCATGTGTGT